TCATTTAAAAATACCTTAGCGTTACTTTTTTTTTTTTTTTAAATGGTTGGTGATAATTTAAAGAAATAGTTATCCCAAAAATGAAAAATTGCTGAAAATGTACTCACCCTCAGGCCATGTATCATGATGTACATGAGTTTGTTTTTTCATCAGAACAGATTTGGATAAATTTAGCATTACATCACTTGTTCACCAATGGATCCTCTGCAGTGAATGGGTGCCATCAGAATGAGAGTTCAAATAGCTGATAAAAACATTACAATAATCCACAAGACTTCAGCATCTTGTGAAGCGAAAAGCTGCAAGTTTATAATAATAAAAAAATACATCATTAAGATGTTTTTAACTTCAAACCATTGCTTCTGGCTGAAATACCAGTCCTTTATCCATAATATTGTTTGAAACAATCTCATCTACATCTTGGAAGGCCTGAGGGTGAGTACATTTTCAGCTAATTTTCATTTTTGGGTGAACTATTCCTTTAATGTCTGTACATGCAGTGCTCATTAAGTGTAATTGTAGTTTTAAAATAATCGCTCTCCTTCCTTCTTTTTATCCATAGAACTAAACCTAAACTTTAAACCTGTATAACTTGGATGGTTTCCTGGATGCAAATTAAGCCTTAACTGAGATTTATTTGCCTGAACTTCATTGCTGAACTTAAACTTCTTCAAGGAAACCATCTCAAATGATAACTCAATTTGTTTGCATTTATTGATCATTTCAGATTTTCTAATCTGTATAACGTTGTGTTGTGTGCAGGTGATTTATTATGAGATTGGTTTTGTGGTGTGCACGGCACTGGGCCTGCTGTTCACCGTGCTGCTGCCGCTGGTGGGGCTTCTCTTTTGTTTGTGCCGCTGCTGTGATAACTGCGGAGGAGAAATGCACCAGAGACAGCGGAAGAACGCGGACTGCCTTAGAGGACTGCTGACCACACTGTTACTCACCACCACCTTCATTATCACGTAAGTTTTTGTGTTTGTCTGATTGTGCATGTGTAACCTTTAACACAGTAAAGGCCCGTTCAAGGACGATAACTATAACAATAACTATAAAGATACAGTTTTATATAAAGATACATTCTATATATAAAAGCATAGAGTCCACACCACACCACCATTTTCAAAATTAACAAACAATCAGATTGGAATCCATCCTGCTTTAAAGACCTTGAGGCAGATGACACAACTACAGCATGTGCTTATAATAAACAACGCTGCCATGCATTGGTGTGGATGTTAATATAGTTATCTTTATATTTATTGTTCATAGTGTGAACAGGCCTTAAGGCTCTCTTCCAAAACCTAGTGTGCTGCCTGCGTATGCAGTATTTTAAGGTTTCATGAGCACAGATGCAAAGGCTATTTCAAAAAGTCTGTTTCAAAGGCAGCTTAGTAGGTTTTTGGAACAGAGCCTAAATAATCAAAAGCAAACTCAAAGCTGATGATACTTTCAATAAAAGACCTCAACAAGACACTTTCGAGCTTGCAGGTAATCTTCCTGTCCTAAAAGTGCCATGTTCTCGAAGACATATTGTAGACAAGTGTACACTCCAGGAAGAAATACAGCAGAACTGCACAAAAGCAGGAACTCCAGGAACTAGCACCGTCAACCTTTATAGAGTGTTTGATGTTCCTCTACTTTATGCATTCAGCCGGCTGGCTCTTTATTAAAGATTCCATAGCACATGCCTGGCTGCCTGGAGATGGGCATGTCTCCTCATGTAAAAACCTCCCAGGATTTCAACCTTCATGATTCTGATGAAGCCGTAACAGGGGCCACTCTGCACACTCCTCTGTTCAGCGCTATATTAAAGCACATCAATCTTGTTCAAATGTGAGGCAGGTGCCACCTAGTCTCTTAGTGGGAAATTTAACTGAAAATCATTCAAATGTTACATGATTGTCCTGAGAGGACTCTCACAGAGAGGTCATGGACAATTGCTTGAGTTTGAAGCATCTCCAGGGGAAGTTATGAGTTGGACACCGTCTCATGTGTTTGGATAGGTGCTTGAATAGTGTTTTTCTTAGTGGTGGTAGAAACCAGGGCAATTGTTCTGAAGTTTCATTGACCTGTGTTGTCATTTATCTTTTCCAAACTTTTAAATTTTATTAAAATTGCTTGATAAACTCAGGCCACTGTTTTTTCTCATAAAACATTGGGCATAATTTAGGCTTGATGAATAATTAAAGAAATGACCCAATTATGCCAAGAAAATTCCTCATTAGTGCCATCTCAAAATTTTATATTTATTTCTGAAAGGAGTCACTTATGCTTACCAAGGCTGCATTTATTTGATCAAAAATACAGTAAAAACAGTAATATTGTGAAATATTATTACAGTTTAAAATAACTGGTTTCTATTTTAATATATGTTAAAATGTCATTTATTCCAGTGATGAAAAAACTGAAGTTTCAACTGCCATTATTCCAGTCTTCAGTGTCATATGGTCCTTCAGAAATCATTATAATAAGATGATTTTTCTTGCCTTAATAAACATTTCTTACACTTATGTTGAAAACAGTTGTGCTGCTTAATATTTTTGTGGAACCTGTGATACATTTTTCAAGATTTTTTGATAAATGAAAAGAATCTTTTGTAACATTATAAAATGTCTTTACTGTCACTTCTGATCAGTTTAATGCATTCTTGTTAAATAAATATGTTTAAATCTTACTGGCCCCAAACTTATCAACAGTAATGTGTAAATAAAACATATGCATGTTGCAGTAGATGGTTTCTTTCTTACTATGTAAATGGTGTTAAGTTGGTTAAGTTGCTTCTGCTAAAAATAGATGCTATTGCCATTATTTACAAATGACCACTCACATAAATTGTGTAAATTGTGTCATCACGTAAGTTTTTGTGTTTGTCTGATTGTGCATGTGTAACCTTTAACACAGTAAAGGCCCGTTCAAGGACGATAACTATAACAATAACTATAAAGATACAGTTTTATATAAAGATACATTCTATATATAAAAGCATAGAGTCCACACCACACCACCATTTTCAAAATTAACAAACAATCAGATTGGAATCCATCCTGCTTTAAAGACCTTGAGGCAGATGACACAACTACAGCATGTGCTTATAATAAACAACGCTGCCATGCATTGGTGTGGATGTTAATATAGTTATCTTTATATTTATTGTTCATAGTGTGAACAGGCCTTAAGGCTCTCTTCCAAAACCTAGTGTGCTGCCTGCGTATGCAGTATTTTAAGGTTTCATGAGCACAGATGCAAAGGCTATTTCAAAAAGTCTGTTTCAAAGGCAGCTTAGTAGGTTTTTGGAACAGAGCCTAAATAATCAAAAGCAAACTCAAAGCTGATGATACTTTCAATAAAAGACCTCAACAAGACACTTTCGAGCTTGCAGGTAATCTTCCTGTCCTAAAAGTGCCATGTTCTCGAAGACATATTGTAGACAAGTGTACACTCCAGGAAGAAATACAGCAGAACTGCACAAAAGCAGGAACTCCAGGAACTAGCACCGTCAACCTTTATAGAGTGTTTGATGTTCCTCTACTTTATGCATTCAGCCGGCTGGCTCTTTATTAAAGATTCCATAGCACATGCCTGGCTGCCTGGAGATGGGCATGTCTCCTCATGTAAAAACCTCCCAGGATTTCAACCTTCATGATTCTGATGAAGCCGTAACAGGGGCCACTCTGCACACTCCTCTGTTCAGCGCTATATTAAAGCACATCAATCTTGTTCAAATGTGAGGCAGGTGCCACCTAGTCTCTTAGTGGGAAATTTAACTGAAAATCATTCAAATGTTACATGATTGTCCTGAAAGGACTCTCACAGAGAGGTCATGGACAATTGCTTGAGTTTGAAGCATCTCCAGGGGAAGTTATGAGTTGGACACCGTCTCATGTGTTTGGATAGGTGCTTGAATAGTGTTTTTCTTAGTGGTGGTAGAAACCAGGGCAATTGTTCTGAAGTTTCATTGACCTGTGTTGTCATTTATCTTTTCCAAACTTTTAAATTTTATTAAAATTGCTTGATAAACTCAGGCCACTGTTTTTTCTCATAAAACATTGGGCATAATTTAGGCTTGATGAATAATTAAAGAAATGACCCAATTATGCCAAGAAAATTCCTCATTAGTGCCATCTCAAAATTTTATATTTATTTCTGAAAGGAGTCACTTATGCTTACCAAGGCTGCATTTATTTGATCAAAAATACAGTAAAAACAGTAATATTGTGAAATATTATTACAGTTTAAAATAACTGGTTTCTATTTTAATATATGTTAAAATGTAATTTATTCCAGTGATGAAAAAACTGAAGTTTCAACGGCCATTATTCCAGTCTTCAGTGTCATATGGTCCTTCAGAAATCATTCTAATAAGATGATTTTTCTTGCCTTAATAAACATTTCTTACACTTATGTTGAAAACAGTTGTGCTGCTTAATATTTTTGTGGAACCTGTGATACATTTTTCAAGATTTTTTGATAAATGAAAAGAATCTTTTGTAACATTATAAAATGTCTTTACTGTCACTTCTGGTCAGTTTAATGCATTCTTGTTAAATAAATATGTTTAAATCTTACTGGCCCCAAACTTATCAACAGTAATGTGTAAATAAAACATATGCATGTTGCAGTAGATGGTTTCTTTCTTACTATGTAAATGGTGTTAAGTTGCCATGTGCCATTCTGCTAAAAATAGATGCTATTGCCATTATTTACAAATGACCACTCACATAAATTGTGTCCTCATTCTGGAGAAGATTTTATTCAAATCTGTATGTGTATTTATATTTAATCAGTCAACAGCTAAAGATGAGTTTAATTAATGAATCTGCTCATTTTAATCCATGGTCCATGAATTTTACATCGACATGAATAAGACATCAGGGTTTACATACGTTTACATGAGCAGATGCATTCAATAAATTCATTATCTTCAGCTGTGGTTCTAAATCTAAAGTTGCACAGAAGAGAAAAATGTCATTGCTCATAGGTTGTTTTTTAATGCACACTTAAATTAATGAAAAAAAATGTCCTTAGATTTTTCTCTTGAATTTCTAAGAGTTATTAGTTCTAAGAGGAATTATAAATAGACACAAATGAGATTTGTTTATGTACAGATAGTTGTTCTCTGGAACAATTTGATGAGAAATATAGTTAACATTGAAATCTCTTGGTTTTGATGGCACACAGTGGGAGACATTGTTGAGATCTTTTCTGAAACTCTAGAGGAGACGTATATAAGCTTACTGAACTCTTTTCAGGAGAAAAATCTCTATTGGCTCTCAGTTTAATCTCACTGATGTCTAGGAGAAACAATTGAGATATTAAAGTGGTCTAATTTGTTATTTGTTGTTCCTGGGGGGCAAATTGACTCACTCGGCTGACTGTTGCTTAGTTGTGATTGGATGTAGAAACCCAATGCTACTCAGAAGGAGTGTTACGCTCAGGGCACTGAAGGTCACTGGGGCTGCTGCTCCTCTGCCAACCCCAGGGCTCAGCTTGCAGAGACGACCTGTCAAATCTAATACAGTAGAGCCTGTAAACCCACATGACATCCATAGTGCAGCTGGGCTGTGCAATGCTCACACATTTCATTCATTAAAGGGGTCCTATTATGCTTTTTCACTTTTTCAACTTTATCACCCTATTTAGTCATAAAAAACCTACATTTGCACAGTATTTGTGCTGTTAAATGTCATTTTGGCCTGTTTTCGGTTCATTCAGCCTTGAAATATTATAATGCATGAATAGATTGAGATTCAATCTTGGTAATTAATCATTGTAAAACACACATATGTAAATGCTTGCATTTTTGCATTTTTGTTAAGCATGCATGTCTGAGCAAAGACGGTTAGCATGAGCATCTGTCACTCCAGCCCCAGTTAGACTCTAGAGATTGAAACAACTGCATTTTCCACAGATCCCACCTAAGTCCTCTATAACAGTTCTGCAAGTATAAAAACAATATACTGCAAAATCTTAAAATATATATATGGAAAAAAACAGGACTGCAAAGTTGAGAGTGTGAGAGACTTGATGACATAATTTGCCGTTTCTATAGTAACAGCGACTACTCTGATTGGTGGATCTCTCTTTAGGATTTTGACTAGTGTAGTACTTCAGTTAGAATTTGGAAACTGGAAAATTGAAATCACACTAACTTATTGGATCCTCAGACAGTTTGGAGTTATGAAAGGGGTCCTTTCAGCAAATATGTTTTAGAAACCCTGATTTGGGTTGTCTAGTGCCTGAGGGTTGTCTGTATAGTTATTTCTAGCAAAATGTGTAAATGTGTTTGCATAAGAGAGAAACCATAGTTACGGTGACAGTATGTCCTGATGTGACTCTGCGTCGGTCTTTCTGTGGTGTGAGTCTCTGTGTGCGTTTTTAGTAATCATATGAAAGTACAGTTCTTTTTGGCACATAGCTGTACAGTTGACATTCATCTGTGTATTTTCAGGATTGTGACTATTTTTTGCAAAAGAGCATTTAAATAGATCCATCATCAGATATTACTGTCATCAGTCCACTGTATACAAAAGTAAATCAGTCACTGTCAAGAGTTTCTTCTGTCAGTTACGATGATGAATAATGAGTATTTAAATGTAATGTTCAGCTCAAAGAAAAACACCACAATATTTTGGTGTACAGAATGGAGAGAGAAAGCTTTTGTTTGTGCGGTTAATCATGTGTCCTCCTTCTGTCCTACACATGAATGGAAAAGAGAAATGATTGTCTCACACTTCAGTTACCCACCCGATCTGGCCTACTTTCACTGCACACACATGGGGCTTGCCGCCTCCATTTCCACAAACATATTCAACTTTAAACTTGAGGGAACTTTAAAAGGAACATTTTGATTTCTTCTGGAATAATGAAACAGTCTGGAGTCTAATTTGAAAATGTTCTGCTTTATTCTTGTCGAAAGAATAGAGTTTTTTTACATTTAATAATAATAATAATGTAATCAAAACTAAAATATATTATTTGTTAATTAATTTACACATTATCATTTGTGTTATTTACACATGGGACTATGTATATTTTCCAAAAAATTATAATAATAATTAATAAATCAAACCCATCTTATATTTTAGCTACTTCTAAGTTGTTGGGTGCATCCAGAGATGCTTTTTAACTATTGAAGGTTCCCATGTATGCTGGACACTCATTGTCTGTTTATCCAGCCCAATTCATCCATTTCCAGTTTAACTGAAATGAACTTGTAAAGAAATATGTAAACACTAAGCGCAAAATTAACATAAATTCTCACATAATATAAAATCTGTCAAATGTGCAGTTTATTGATACTTTTATAAAGAAATGTATATACAAGCACAAAACTACCATAACTACGTAATATAAATTCTGTCATATGTGTCCATATTTTTTAATGGTAGTGCATGTGTTTTATTTTGTGGTAATGGTAGTTCAATACATTGAAAAGCATCTTTTTTGTCTTGCCTTCCAAAATAAAAGGCTGACCCTCATTTTCCAGTTGACAGTGGCTGTCTTTGTCTGGGTCAGTAGCTTGGCAGTGTTGTGTTGGTGGGCCGATCACATTACAGGTCTGTTGAGTACAGAGGAATCAACAGGTAGACCTAGAACGCCTTCATGGTGAAATCAAACCCGGTGGGTCATCTTTTGTATAAAGAGGCAGTCAAGGAGGTCCTCACCCCCACCCTGCTCCTCAAACCCCCTTAGAGGCATTTATAGACAGGGACATTGTGGGAGTAGCCCCAGGGTCCAGTCAGGCTAAATACAGCAATCATTGTGGGAGTGACGCTATTCCTGCCTCCATTACTTTATAGAGACATTCTTCAGTGCACTGAACCAACCCAAGTTATAAAGCCTATTTTCAACATGATGCCAAAGTGAGCTCAGAGCCATTATTAAAAGTAAGCTTTAAAGGGGTCATATGATGCGATTTCAAGTTCCCTCTCAAGCTTTCACGAGACATCACGGAGATATTTCTCCGTTATGGGAACTCCTTCCCTTCCAACCTTTCCTGAAGTCCTATTGGCTCCCGCCAGTCCAAATGACTGGCCAATTGACGCGAAGTATACAAATCGCATGCAAATACTGACGAGCTCGAGAGGCAGTATAAAATGCGGTGCACGCGACAATTACGTCAGAATCTTCTACTTCACCTGTTGAATTCACTATGGCAACAATCTGCAAGATCTGCATGGGACCAATAGAGCCGCCGGATCAACACGACCACTGCGTCGCCCGCCTGGGCCTGGCCCACGCCGAGGCGGCGCTGGACGAGTCCAACTGCGGGCATTGCGCGGACCTTCCGGCCCGCGTGCTCCGGACCCTAATTATGTCCCCACTGGATGCAACAAATGCCTCGTTTATAATTATAGTTTTATTGGTTTTGTCTCGTCGCTCCGGGACATGGCATCACAGTATGGTAAGGGGCGTAACATTTCCGTCACATGCTTGAGGTATTCAGCCAATCACAACGCACTGGATAGCTGGCCAATCAGAGCACACCTCGCTTTTCAGACCGATGAGCTTTGTAAAAATCGACGCGTTTCAGAAAGGCGGGGCATAGAGGAGAAACAATAATGTACAATATGTGGAAAATAATGTTTTTTTTTAACCTTAAACCGCATAAACACATTTCATTACACCAAATACACAAAATAATGTTCTTTTTAGCAACATCATATGACCCCTCCAATTAAAATTTTATTTTATTTATTTATTGCTGGTTCATGTGAGGTGCCCTTCAGAGTTTTAGACCATCTCAATGCCCTCTGTGTGGAATGCACTTTGCCATCTTCAAAGCGTCTTTGTTCACTGGCTGCTATGTTTTCGCTGACCTTATGGAGCAGAGCAGATAGCAACTTACCAACACACAGTGTAGACAGAGAGAGGAGGACATGGGGAATAAGGGGGTGAGAAGGAGGAAAAACAATAGTGCTTTGTAGCTAGCCACCCATTTTGATTCTCCATCAGTCTGTGGTCTGTTTCTCACCCTGATACCATTCTGCAATGCCCACTATCTGCATATAAAGCACTGCATTTCATCACATGTGTGTAATTTTAAAACCAGTTTTACGTTTGCTCTATTTCAGATCCTAAATTGTAACTAAATTTGAATTAAGGTAGCCAAACTGAATTGAATTAAATTTAAGAAAAATTAAATAAAATGAAATTCATGTCATTGCTGTAAGTGTAGTCTTTTTAATAATTTGTCATTATTAGTAGTAATTGTAGAATTATAATACAATATATTTTAAAATTACGTGTTTGCTCTATTTCAGATCCTAAATTGTAACTAAATTTGAATTAAGGTAGCCAAACTGAATTGAATTGAATTTAAGAAAAATTTAATAAAATGAAATTCATGTCATTGCTGTAAGTGTAGTCTTTTTAATAATTTGTCATTATTAGTAGTAATTGTAGAATTATAATACAATATATTTTAAAATTACGTAACTTATAATTCATAATCATTTTCAGTATTAGCCATAAAATATACAAAACACATACACACATTTATATGCATATATTATTTATATAGTATTTATTTATTTTGTGAATGTCCATGTTTGAGGAACACTTCATTTCTCAGAAAGCTTTTTAAAATTTTTGAAGTTTATATTTTGAATATTTTAATGGCAGTGCTTAATTATAAAGTTACTATTAAACAATATAACTGTTTTTTTAGAAATTAATAGTTAATAAATGTAAATGTTAATAGTTTTGATAATATTGAACCATTTCAGATAAGATTTTCCAAATTTGTGATTTGGTCAGAGTTTATGTAATTATTCATGTTCTGTCGCAAAACTTGTGTTGGCCGATTGAAATTCTTATATTGTATGTCTGTTGAATTTCTTAAAATTGCAATTCAGCATCCTGTGGGGCTTGAGGCCAATTCATTTTAAGCCCCCCTCATGAATTGAAAGGTAGACACTTCTCTTATATTATGAATGTTGCTTATCCTTGGTCCTCATGTATTAAACAAAATATAACTCTTAACACAAAAGCTGTGTTGCCTACAGAGAGAATAATAAACTGTAATGCTAGTGTTGTCAGATAAAATAGTTGTGTGCACAGGCTAATTTTCTAGAGCACTTTTTGATGTACAGATGTTTCTTTTAAGTCGTGTCTAGAGGAAGTATTTTGCATTCACATCTGAAACAGGAAGTTGCCCATACCCATCTTTAGTTTTGCTAGCTGTGATAAATCCCACCCACCCTGCAGAAGTGTGTGAAAGCATTGATGCATTTCATTTGCAGCACCCACAGATTAATCTGTGTATGGTGCAATCATATGCACAAAACCAACAAAGAGTGATTCACACATTTTGATGTAACAGCACAAAAAGCCTTCCCGTTTGCACTAAGTCAATCATGGCTTTTGTCCCAGACTGCAGTGAACACCTAGAATGATGGTGCTACCAACATTCAGTGTCTCCCACAGTAGCCATGAGCACACCAAAAGAAGACAGCCCAATTAGGATGCGTGAATCATGAATAGGTACTAATATAGGGCTGGCTTTTCCTTGAAGTGTCTCTCAGTCTAATTAAGGAGAGCTCACAGTCACCAGTTTGTTTGAAGTACTTTTCCAACTATGTAAGACGAAGGTTCCTTTGGACTTATTCACTGAGTTGCATAACAAAAGCGCTCTCTTCCTGTATAGACCTGCAGCAGTATGATGTTGCCTCTTAGTTCTCAATAAAAGTATGCCAGAGTATGAGCACATTCCCAAAGCAACACGATTAAAGCATCCTAAGAGAAGAGCACCGCTGTGAGGAGCATGCGTCTAGTGATTGCATTGCAGTGTTGCCCCCTACTGACACTCCAGAGAGTATCTTACTGACAGGGCCATGACAAATGTTATTTTACAAATGTTCCTATTCTTGCTTTTCTGGCTTGAATCTGATTTAGTTTGTGCTTTTTTAACAATACTGTTTTTAATCATCAGGGCAGGGGTCCTTTGTGCATATGCAGCCAATCAGAACCTGAGTTCCCAGCTGAAGAGCATGAGGAGGCTGGTGAAGAGTAACCTGAAAGACCTGCACACCTTCGCCAATCAGACCCCTGCAGTAAGCAATACAACCAGAACAAACATGTGCCCACACATACACTATTACACTGGGATGGGTGGGTGGATGGATAGATAAATAGATAACAGACAGACAGAAAAGAGAAGAGCACCGCTGTGAGGAGCATGCGTCTAGTGATTGCATTGCAGTGTTGCCTCCTACTGACACTCCAGAGAGTATCTTACTGACAGGGCCATGACAAATGTTCTTTTACAAATGTTCCTATTCTTGCTTTTCTGGCTTGAATCTGATTTAGTTTGTGCTTTTTTAACAATACTGTTTTTAATCATCAGGGCAGGGGTCCTTTGTGCATATGCAGCCAATCAGAACCTGAGTTCCCAGCTGAAGAGCATGAGGAGGCTGGTGAAGAGTAACCTGAAAGACCTGCACACCTTCGCCAATCAGACCCCTGCAGTAAGCAATACAACCAGAACAAACATGTGCCCACACATACACTATTACACTGGGATGGGTGGGTGGATGGATAGATAAATAGATAACAGACAGACAGAAAGACAGATGGCTGGACAGACAAGATGGATGGATGGACTGCTAGACAGATGACCGGTCGAATAGATAGATAGATAGATAGATAGATAGATAGGTAGGTAGGTAGGTAGGTAGGTAGGTAGGTAGGTAGGTAGATAGATAGGTAGATAGGTAGACAGACAGATGCAGATGCAGATGGTTGCCTGAAACAATGGTCAGTTGAACAATTTAGATATAATTATATGAAAATATTTAATTGCATAGTTCTGCAAATGAACAAAAGTAATCATCCAGTAGATGTCTTCGTATTGGCAAGTGAGGTTCTAGTTTCTGAATATATTGCTGTGTTGTCTCCCCTTCAGCAAATTGATTACCTGATCTCTCAGTATGGCACAGTGAAGCACCATGTGCTGTATGACCTGGAGAGTAAGTATGCTATCGGTCATCTGGAGTGGAATGGAAGGTGTTTCTGATGTGAGGACTCATATTGTGGTGTTTCTTCAGATGTAGGTCTGCTCTTGGGTGGAAGGATACATGAGGAGTTGGGAAAAGACGTGCAGCCCGCCCTCAACGCGGCTCTCAGCATGACTGGAAGTATGTCACTCCCCTTTGTGTTTTTTGTTTGTTTGTTTCTTTTCTTTCTTTCACCTTTGCTGGGAAAACTATTTATCATATATATCATATATCACATAAGAATATAGTGTGGATATTCAATCCATTGCTTGTGGTGGTGTCTTATTTCACTGTTTTGTCTTTGATTTGTTAGTTAAAGTGGAGAAATCCATTAAAGGTAAACCATAAGAGACCCTAACTTGTCCTTCCTGTTACCTTCTATCTGTAACAAAGTTGTGATTGACTCCTTATTCCTTCCCAACAAAACCTGGCCCAGTTATTTTCCCATGTGTATTCTTGTATCCTTCCTTGGTGGAACCTGCCCATCATGTGTCGTAAAACCAAGATATCTGAAAGGTTATGAAATACACTGAAAGCTCCAAAGACAATGTTATCTCACCTCAATGGATAATATTTAGAACATTTTTTAATTAAAGATGCATGTGTGGATTTTATGTCCTTCAGAATTATTTGTGCCTTGGTTATTGTGGGCAGTCTCTGTTTTTGAATGTTCATTTATGTGTGTTGGCTCATTTGTTTCCTCTCTTAGCAATGCGAGACACTAAGGATGCTCTAGAGAATGTGAGTTTGACGTTGGAGACTTTGCAGGAAGGAACAGTCAAACTGCAGGCTAACCTCAGCCTGGTGCGCGGAAGCCTTAGCAACGCCCTTAATGATCCTGTCTGCACAGACGCACGCTCATCTGAGATTTGTCACAACATACGTAGCACCCTTCCCAGGCTAGAAATTGCAGCCAACTACTCATCGGTATTGAAATAATTTATAATCTTTTCTTCCAACATATTGTCATCAAAATGGTTCACAGTTGTTTTCTTTAAAAAAAAAAAAAAACATTTGCTGTTTTGGGGGTTTTTTTAGTTGCCTGATGTGACCAACCAGTTAGACAAAGTGAATGAAGTTCTAAAGACGGACCTCAGCCAGATTGTGGAAAAGGTATGTTTTTCCCAGATTTCTCATGACATGTTTGTGAAGATTCAGGACAGAAGATATTGTATTTCACAGTGAAACAGGATATTCAACAAGAGAAAAAAATCATTTTTTCCATTGGGAATTGATTTGATTAAGATGAGTGGTAATACATAATAAAATGAATCCAAGTAGTTGGAGGGGTGGGAGTTGAAAAGTGAAAAGGTTATATCCTTGACTGAAATAAGGTCAGTTTTGATTTCATGTTGGTCTTGAAGGAGCATATCAGCTTTGCTCACTCTTGCACCTTTTCATCTTGTATCACACAGGGCTTTACATCATTCAATGACACTCCCACCTTGGTAACAGATCAAACCCGAAATATTGTGGAAGGTGAGTTTAAATATTAAATCTAGACTGGAATTCAGATCTTTGAATTTTATATACAGACCATCTAAAGATTCATACAGAGTGCCCTTTCAGAAATTAAAAAATATTTTATTTTATATATTATCTATATTTTATATATTTTTCTACTTTTCACTTATTAAATTGAAACAGTCAGACTTTACAATAAGGTTCTATACATTAACATTAGTTAATGTAATAGCTAACAGGAACTAACAATGAACAATACTTTTATTTTATACTTCTATTTCATATTTATTATTCTAGTTGAATATTAATTTCCACATATTACTAACACATTTTTAACATTTAAAGTTAACCTAACTTAGATGAATGCTTTGATTATGCTGTAAAAATGGTACTAATGTTAAACTAATGTTATCCAGGTCAAATTCATTTAAAGGGGTCATATGATGCGATTTCATTTTTTCCTTTCTCTTTAGAGTGTTACAAGCTCTTGGTGCATAAAGAAGATCTGTAAAGTTGCAAAGACTAAAGTCTCAAATCCAAAGAGATATTCTTTATAAAAGTTAAGAGTTAGCCACACCTACCTAAAACGGCTCGTTCGAACACGCCCCCACATACCTACCTCACTATGTGGGAAGATTTGCATAAAGCCCCCAAATGTTCACGCAAAGAAAGAAAGCGTAACTTTTATTCTCGCTGTAGTATTGTTGACGCTGCAGCCATGTCCTGAAGACGCTGTGTGCTTCATTGTGAAAGCGAAACTACTTTGTTTGGTCTTCCAAAAGAGGACGATATCCGCTTCGCCATGCCTAGAGCTGATCTGTGCTGGTCGCTGAGGAAATACATCAACTTAGTGCTGTGGATCGCCAGCACATTTTATGGAGGACTGTTTACTGATCCTGGGAGAGTTACGTTAGACTAAAATGCCGGCAGTTCTGACTCACGTAAGCACGTTTTCTTTTATCATTTGCCACTGATGATTCAAACGCGAGCTTTGGGCAGTAGAGTAGCACTTGCTGTTTGTCATTTCTCTGATCACAAATGCAGACAGAATTTTATGTTTACGCGGCGCGATGCAATGCAACGCAACGCGTAAAAAGACAGTATAAGTCATTATAATCAGTAATTATGTCCCCACTGGATGCAACAAATGCCTCGTTTGTAATGGGTTTTAATGTTTATGTCTCGTCGCTCCGGCCGGACACGGCATCAACAGTATGTGAGGGGCGTAACATTTCCGTCTCACGCTTGAGGTATTCGGCCAATCACAACGCACTGGATAGCTGGCCAATCACAGCACACCTCACTTTTTCAGACCGATGAGCTTTGTAAAAATCGACGCGTTTCAAAAAGGCGGGGCATAGAGGAGAAACAATAATGTACAGTATATGGAAAATAATGTGTTTTTTTAACTTTAAACCGCATAAACACATTTCATTACACCAAATACACAAAATAATGTTCTTTTTAGCAGCATCATATGACCCCTTTAAACATTGCCTTACTAACATAGTGTCATATGTAATCATTTAATTGATTTAAAGAACATATGACTTGTATCGTAATATTTAGCATATGCACATTCCTTGCAAGGCCTGAGGAGGATGGGCTTTTATCGAGTTTTTTTTCCTTGCCACAGTCGCCTTTGCTTTGCTTACCAGGGCACATACAATAAGACACAATTTTCAGTGAATAGCATAGATGATGAAATGTGCTTTTCACAAAAAAAAAAAATGTCACTGAATCTGCACTAAAGCATTTTCTAATACTGTTGTGTCTCCTGTAGGGGTGAAGGTTCTGCTGGACGACATTGGATCAAACATCACCACTTTCAGCAAGCTCTTCCTGGTTCACAGCTCTTTGACCAACTTCACCAAAATGATCTCTCACACACACTCACAGATCGAGGACATCTACCCTCAAGTTGATCAGATGGATTTCTACAGGTGCTTCAAAGGACTCAACTCGACTAGACAAAAACTAGTCACAAACTTTATTGTCCTTGTTTTCGAGGCAAAAAGTCTTCCATGTGCCCTTGATGTTGTTCATAATGTTTTTGTTTTCAGGTGGATCTGTTGTATTACCCTGTGCTGTATGGTTGTGCTCATCCTCGCCTTCAATTTTCTGGGTTTGTTGTGTGGTATTCTGGGATTCAACAGGCACGCAACTCCAACAACACGTGGTTGTGTCTCTAACACAGGAGGCAACCTGCTCATGTCGTGAGTTTGAGTTTTTACGTCAGTCTTCAAACCCATCAAATGGATGTGTTATAAGACAGCTTTGTCTGCACTCATTCACACTGCACTCTTCCTCTGTCTCTCAGTGGTGTGGGCTTCAGCTTCCTGTTCTCCTGGGTGCTCATGGGAGTGATAGCAGCTCTGTTTTTGGTGGGTGGGAATCTAGAAAAGCTTGTGTGTGAACCCTTTCAAACCCGACAGCTGTTTAAGGTAAGAGAAACGACACAATGTCAGAAGTTTTTGCTTTCATTAAAGCACAAGATGATGTATCGATCATCTCAAATCATGCTGGAGAACATGATCATAGGGCTTTACATGAAATTCTGAGTTTATGCAGCTCGAGTGCTGCTGTCAGTAAAACAATTGACAAACCAAATAGTAAGACATTCTAAAATTAATGTTCTGTTTTTGATTCAGTATTTCCCCATATTAAAATAAAATAATAATAAATATTAAAATATTATTTGAACATTTTGGTATTAATAAATTGTGTATATATTATATTATATTTTTAATGTTCATGTGGATGATATAATTTGTAATTAATTTTCACTAGTTGTCTCAGGCATTCGGCACCCATTGTATACATGTTGAAAGACAAATAAATTCACCAAACAATACGAGATACAGTGTGATTATGTTGTGTGTAGGTGTTAGATACACCCAAGCTGATCAACTCTGCTTGGAGAAACTTCATACCAGGATACCTGTACAATGACCCTGAGATGGACCTTACAGCATATTCTCTCTACAGGTAACCTTGTTATGTATATCTAATAAATAAAAAATAAACAATTATATTACTCTATAATAGTGCTGTTAAGTATTGGTGCTGTAAGTGCAAGGTTTTTTGGCAAAAAAAAATATTTGGACAAATATATAAATTGTAGTGTATTAAAAACTAAATGTTGAATCAAATATGCAAACAAATTACACATTTTCTCTGAACTAACTTTTCTGAGCCATTTTACAATAGATTTGTCTTCGTCCTTCAATAGTCCAGCAGATGGCAGCAGAGAATTAAAAGTCTGAAATGAAAGTCTGATCATAATAAAATAGAGTAAGGTTTGATTTCCCCCCTTTTTCTCTCTTCTTTTGCAGTAATTGTAAGGACAACAGAGGGATTTACTCAGCTCTTCATCTGGATAAGATCTTCAACATCTCAGCCTTCTTTAACACTAGTGTTGTGAGTGGATCCAGGCTTAGCGTGCACACGCAAATCACAACTAAATTTACAGTGACATTCAAAGTCACACTCTGAGATTAGTGATGCTACCGTTTACACCAGATAGCACCATTTTGAGAGCTAGGCATTTTAAACTCATTACTATCTAACAACAAATGTGATTGTTCAGACAAATTTAAGCTGACTGTGGGCATTAAAAAAAGTTGCATTAAAAGATCATAAGTCTCGGATTACGCATGTAACCATGATTCCCTGAGAGGGAACGAGACACTGTGTCCTCTAGTGGGCACTATGGGGAATGGCATCGGCATGACCAGTGTCTGAAGCACGTGTGAAAGCACTCCAATCTATTGAACCACGCAGCCCGTGACTTCATTAGCGGCATGCCCGGAAGTACAAGAGGTCACCTGTAATGCATGTCAACATTTTTGTCTGAAGGAGACATGAAACAGGCAAGCCCTAGTCATGGCAAGGGGACACATTGTCTCGTTCCCTCTCGGGGAGCCATGGTTACATGTGTAACCCGAGACGTTCCCCTTCAAGGGAACTCGCACTGCATCCTCTAGTGGACACTATGAGGAATGAAATACTAGGGCTGGGTAAAAAATATTGATTTTCTCGATTTTAGTTGATTCTCATTTTTATGAAACGATATAGATTCATAAATCCCATAGATCGATTAGTCTAGGCTGTCAGATAATGAACGGAACATTGTAGCGTGCCTCCCATCCAATAAATTGCAATAAGCTTTGTGATTTGTTACTTTTGATATGAAACAAAGTCTCAGATTTCAAATTCTGTCCATTTTATTACAATATTCAAATATTAAATCCCTTTTTGGCGCTGTTTAATGTGGAGTGACAGATCGCTGTACCACCTTGGTTAGAAGCGGCAGCGCAAACTGATCATCTCCGCTTTAATAGCAGTTACAGCATGAAGTAAACATGAATGAACATCCGATGGTGTTAAAAGAAAGAGTACAACTTACCAAAATCCATCTCCTGTCTCATGTAATCGCTCAATCAGTGTTTCAAACGCGGAAAGATGACAATAGCATGTAAACAATGTGTCACGTAACGTCACATTTACCACAGAAAAACATATTCGGTGACCATGAACTCATTAGTCAGCTAGAAGAATGAACTCTAGAGAGGAGCATTTTGCTAAATATGCACCATATAACATATTCATTATAATTTTTACTGTTCTTCAATATTTAATTTATGTTTGATTAAATCCGTCAAGTTTTTGTAATAACCACCATTTAAATGTTTATATTTCAAAAAATGAATTGGAGTAGAAATATAATTGTGTAATTTAAAGTTAAAGTTAGTATTATAACTTTAATATGACAAAAACCTTATTGAGTATATTTTAAGTGTTTGTATACAAATCAGCAAATTTCAACCTTCCAAAAATATTATTGACTCTCAGGTATATTTTACAGCATAAGTTGAGCGATCTTTTCCTTGAGAAAATTGCCATGTTCTGTACCTGATATCTCATCTCATTTCATCTCACCTCCAACATCCCATTCAGCCAAGTTGGGAACACAACTGTCCTCAAACAGCTATGTCCCTAAAGGCAATGAGCCATCTACTTGAAACCCTAATGCAGGGGAGACAGCCCAAAGCATGTGGGTTTGCAGGGGACCGCCTTCTTGAAAATACCCTGATATCAGGGGAGGCAGCCTAACATATCAAAAAGGAACCTCAGGGGGACAGCCTACTTAAAGCCCTAGAATACGGGGAGGCAGCCCAACCCAGCTACCAGAAATATTAAGTAGGGAAAGAGCTCACAACTCATGGGGAAGATCTTATCAAAGGAAACCAGCCACAGCCAGTACCTCTATGACAAAAAACTTCCCGAATAGGGAGCCTAAAAAAAAACTTGACCTATAGCCATAGGTGTACCGTCTAATTACAAGGGAAACAGCCCAAGCCAAAGAGCAGCTCATCAAAGGGAAACTATCCTCAGACAGTTACCATCTCTAAAGGTTAGCCACCGTAAATACACCGGAGGCAGCCCGACCTGAGATGCTGCTACAAAGAGAGCAAGGAACCCTACTTAAAACCCAAAATCATTGGGAATGGACATCTTGCTAAAATCTTCATGAAGGGGATAGCCATCAAAGGAAACTGTTCTTAGACAAGTGCATCTTTGATAAACTTCCACTTAAGAGAGGTAACAAGAGGGGCTTGAACGGAAATTTTCTACTCCTCCCGTGCCCCTCTTACAATCCCCGTGCTTGATTCCGCCTCACTGCAAGGGCGACCGCAGAAACTGAACCACAGAGTGTAGGAGCTCAACTCTTTCATATTACACCGTTTCTTATTTGTATAAAGAATTAGAAACAACATTGAATTCCTGAAAGGGAAAACATTTCCCGGCAGGTCACTTCCATACTCCACCTACAATCTACACGAACGGTCCGGCTATCTGCCTCGACAAACAGTGCGACTCGAACCGCAGATGGTAGGCTGTCAGTTTCGCCGCGACTGCATCGCGCAGCATGCATTCAGCTTCCACGAGAGCCGAATGTGCTCTGTACAAAGGCTAGAATCCCTCGAGAACCAAGCAAGAACAGAATCCACTGCCGTGAATGCATCGCTATGAGCCCATTCAACTCCCACGAGAGGCGAACGCGCTCATGCAAACACTGTCTAATATCTCGGGTGAAGGTGAAGCAAAGAAGAACCAGGCTTCTACCTTCCCTCTCAGTAATACCACGAATGGATACGATAAGCAAATCCTGCTTCCTCAAAAGTCGAAAGCACTCCATCCATGCTTTTTCACAAAGAAATAAGAGCAACGAGCGCATTCAACTCACTCAAGAGCTGAATGCACATGCTCCTCGACCACACAACATACGAGTCGCATGAATCTGTAGGTATCAAAGCAAAGCCTCTCAATGAGCACCTTTAGTTTCCTCAAAAACTAAGTGCGCACGCATCTCACTCATGCACAGACTGTATCAATCATGCATGTCCTCAGGTCCTCAAATGGAGGCACGCACTATGGATTGTGTCTTAAAGGAAATGCACACCATTCACTATTTTCAGTAACACTCTCGAAAAAAAAATGTTGTAAAGTATGTTTTTCCAACCCAGTGTTGTTGTTTTTCTCTCTGTTATTTTGAATTAGCAAAATATCTCAAAACATTTCATGCATAACCATTTGAAATATTTTATATAGAGCATCTATAAATTCCTTCATTTTAGCAGAATGATTTTTGTTTTCACTTAAAATCCTTCAAGCCAACATTCTTGATTCACACAGGACCCAAAAATCTGAGACCACATTGAATGGAATGTTTTAGAATTTTTATGAAATGTAAAATAAAGAAAATCATGTGAACTGCTTTATACAAACGGACAAATGATTGCTCCCACTGTAGCACAGGATGCTCTTTAGATCTTCTCAAATGATGCTGGAGAACATAAATATCAGGTTTTGCACAAACTTGTGGAGCACATGCAGAACAAGTGCTGCTTTTAAAGCAAAAAAGGGACAAACTAAATACTAAGACATGCTGTTTTCAATCCAACTTTCCACAAATAATTTAAATACTACCGAATAATAAAAATTTTGGTGTTAATAGGTTGTTTATGTGTTCTTCATTTTTATCATTTTATGTATTTTTTATAAATATACGTCTGAGCCACTAGTAACCATGATAAATAAAAATGAGTAAATATTATTATTATTTTTTTTTTTTTGTAAGTTATTGTATTTTACTAGTGGTCCCACTGGTCAGACTGTATTTTCTAGAATATTTCCTCATGACAATCCATCCAGATTTCCTAAACTCATGTCAGAATTATATACAGAGCCTCTTTTCTTTCTGCAGTACTCCAAGGATGTGTCAAGGAAGTTTGAAGGGATGAAGGTGGACCTGCGTGACATCATTCTTCTGGAGTCAGAAGGCAAACAGAATCTCATCAGTTTCACTGAAACTGGGATTAATGAGGTTGACTTTGCTGCCTATTTGGAGGAGGTACATAACATACATAAACACATTTTAATTGAAACTTTTGAACCATAGGCTTTGGTGCATGTACAGTCCCAGTTCAGATGAGAAACTGTGGGTTCTCATGTGTTTCTGTTCATCTTTTCAGGTTAATAAAGGAGTGACTCTCATTCATCTAGTTGATTTCGCTAGTCAACTTGATGCTCAAGCTGATCAGTTGGTAAGATTTATGAGGTTTATAAGATTTATGTTTGGTCCAATTAAAATCATTCTAAAAGGAGTATAAAATGTAATTATTCCCTATATTACATGAAATTCAGTGGCATGGTTAGTACCTGTATGAATGTTTCTTGGGCTAATTCTCATTTACACTGTATCTTTCTCTTTTGCAGTCTAAAGGGACCTTGCAGACCTCATTAAAGGGACACGCTAATACTATAAGACAGATCCACACCCAGCAAGTCATCCCACTGGAGCAGTCCATGGTAATCTATCCTTGTTTCATTGATGCTCATTTGAATGATTACCTTCTTATCCATGAATGTTTCTGTTGAACCGTTTCTATTCTACAAGTGGGACTTATTGTTAATGAAAAACTTCTCAAAGATGTTCATATTTCTGTTCGTACCTGATTTTAAACAATCTCTTTTTTAATTTTCTTTAACACATTCAACTTGATTTATGGCTTCCGAGAAATATGTGAAAGCAAGGGTAAGCCTGCCAGTCATAGCTGCATAACCTGCAAGTTGTTTGCTCCTTTTGGTATGGTTTCTCTGTTATAACATAATGGAAAAAACAAGCATCTTTTTAGAGCAGCCTTCATCATGTCTTTGTCCTAGTGACATGTTTTTTAAACTTCCAGATGTGTAAATTTGAATATTTACACATTCAAAAACTGATCAAAGGTGAAATGTTGAATTTCTGTCCATCTAGTGGCATCAAACAGAAAATTATGATGTTTTCTGTCGTTTCCACACCATTGGTTAAAGCATTTGCATTTGCATGACTGGAATGTTTTTTTTCCAGTCCATGCTAGTTGCTATACCACTGATAGATATGATCTTACGTGAAATATAAAGTTCATCAAATGATTCCCCCTGTGTGCCAAATGTATCATATAGTACAACAGTTTTGTGTCAAATTCTTTATTTATTTGTGACATAATGTGCATGTGATGCATGTAATGGAACTATCAGTTTGCATGGCATTTTGTCACCCTGCTAAATCCCTTCAATTGTCAGTTTATGTTTCCAAAATGGTCATTTACAGTTTTTCTTTTTGTACCATTTCATAAGCATTTTAGATTATAGATCATTTGGACATGATTCTTGCTTTGTGTCTATTATCTTTCTTATTAAAGAGCACACTTAATCAGAGCATCAGACTTCTGGAGAGGACGTCCTCAGACCTGCCTGTAAGTTGCTCATTTTAAAACTACCACCAGTTTAAAAATATCGCAACAGATGCATTTCAGAACATGCTTTCTGATGAGCAGTAAATGCATTGGTTTTTAGGTCAGAGTTAGAGATGTATTAGCAGCCGTTGATGCCACCCAGTTCCTAATTTCCCACAATGCAACATTTGTGGTCAATCAGGTAATGTGAAAGAAAAAAAAACCTGTCTGAAATGATTGGTGTATAGTTGTATTGTACTGATGGTTAATATATGCTCAAACAGGAAACAGAGAAATACAAGCAGACTATTATTGGCTATTTCAAGCAGTATATTGACTGGATCAGAACGTCTGTGAGTATTTTTAACTGTATTATCTATCTGAAATAGCATTAATGTTAGATTGGTGACGATCGGTTAGTTCTTCTGCATTGTTTTGTTTTGAAACCCTTTTGTTTTGCTGCCTCATTGTAGTTGGCCCTGGAGGTCGCTACCTGTAAACCACTCAGCAACATTGTGGACACGGCCGAGATCCTAGGCTGCAGTTTCCTGCTGGATTCAATGGTAAGATGGCCATCGGTACTATAACCACTGGAACCACTGGAAATGAAATTGTTCTCATCATTTACTCACCCTCATTTCCTTCCAACCCCGTTATTTTTTGACATCCATTAAATAAAAAAAGTGTGTTTGGTTTTACATACAGTTAATATGGATGGTGATTTATATTGCCAAAGCTTAAAAGAGTACAAAGGGAACTAATAAAAACAGCATAAAAGAAGGCCAAACTACTCATTCACTATATATTCCAAGTCCTCTGAAGCATTTTGTGAAGATATAAAATTATCAATAATGTGGTCGGAACAATATCAGATTAAGTAAATAACAAAATTTTTATTTACGGGTAAACTATTTGTTTAAAGAGCTAGACAACCCTTTCAAATGTTTAGGGTCAGTAAGATTTTTTTTTAAGAAAAAAAGAAGACTAAGAAAGAAAGAAAGAAATGTTTTTTTGAGTGTCAAAATCAGCATATTAGAATGATTTCTAAAGAATCACGTGACACTGAAGTCTGGAGTAATGACTGCTGAAAATTCAGCACCGAAGCAATTGCATTCTATGATTGGGGTCGGCTTAACTGAAATGATCCTTTGGAAGAGGATAGGACTTCTGTGTCATTTACTTCGTTTTTGTACTGTTTTACAAATGAGGACTTCTCCAAAAGAAGTTTTTTTTTTTTCAGATTTCGCTACACACACACACTGGTTTCCATCTTTTATGGGTACATTCCATAGAAGTAATGATTTTTATACTGTAAAAACTGTATTTTCTATCCCTTACCCTAAACCTAGCCCTCACAGAAAACTTTCTGCTGTTTTAGATTTTGATTTATAAGATGTTTTCCTTATGGGGACCAAAAAAAAAATGTCCCCACAAGGTCCAAATTTACTGGTATTACTATACTTGTGGACATTTGGTCCCCATAATGTAGGGGATACCAGGGCACACACACGAAATGTTGTACATCATAACTAGTAAGGGCAGGAAGCATTCAGGCTGCTAACTAGCTGTAGTAATTAGTGGCTAGCTGCTCTTTCCACAGACACCCAAAGATTGACCCCAGTATAATTCTCTGACTGCAGCAGAAAGAACGTAAAGTGTTTAACCTCAGCCTGGTTGTTTTTGTTTGTTTGTTTGTTTTTTGTCTTTGCTGGTTTCAGCTTCATTATTACTCTAAGTTGGCAGTCAGTTCAATTCAGTTCAAGTATTTGTATAGCACTTTTCAAAGCAAAGCAGCTTTACAGGCAATGCTTGTTACAATTAGGAGGTATTCTGTTATCAGCAAGAGACAAGTGTACCAAAGTAATGTCCAGCTATAATATATATCTGGGAAAGAGTAATATACAGTACAACAATGTTACAATATAAGGGTAATATTTGACAGTTTTGTACGTTGATTCGAAGCCCTCATCTGAGGTCTTTGTAAGTTGCAGTAAATGAATCCTGACGGCTAGTTATTTGCATAAACAAACCTATTTGTTAAACTTTTCTCTACATTTTGTTGCGTGGCTGGACATGTTGCATCCAATCGATTGAATGTGAACGTTCGTTTATATAGATAACCTCTTATGCTAGAGATCCACTTTCTGTATTTTGGAAAAGCTTCTTGTCAGAAGAAATACATGTATGGAGAGTATGTTGATCAAAGTGACATTTATGGTTAAGCGGAGTGCAGTTTTTGGGTGGCTTTAATCTTGTGTTTATTTGTTGCAGAACACATTCTGGTTTGGATTAGGCTGTTCCACACTGTTTCTGCTCCCTAGCATTATCCTGTCCGTCAAACTTGCCAAGTTCTACCGCAGAATGGACACAGAGGATGTCTACGATGAGTAAGTATCCCAAATACACCAAGTTTGCGATTGCTTTTTAGCACCCCAATGATTACAGTTCCATAAACAAAGTTAATATTGTTTGTATATTGTTTTACTCTGCTAAAGAAAACAGATGACAGGACTGGAGCTAACTGTTCTACAATGAATAATATGCATAATATATGAAAGTGCAAATGCTTCGTTCTTTTCTTTCTTTTGCCCAGAGTAGTTAATAAATCTTTTTTCCTCTCTCTGTGCTCTTCTTTCTAGTTCCTCTGTGTCAGGGACTTGGCATTTCACCTTATGATAACCATTCTTGCTATTTCCATCTTTCTTCATTCTTCGTCTTTCTGTTCAGCACTTTGCACTTTATGAGAACTACATGTATATATTGTACAAACAGTGTTTTGTTTTAGCGTTTTTCGAGCATTCATCCGTTTACAGCCGAGATCATTGCGATTGACAAGTCACCAAGTGTCTTGACCAGAGATGTCCATTTTGACATCCGTGTGATGTCTCTGTCTACCACTACAGTGCATCTCTGTAACATTTTTGCTTGTCTTGTATCTTTTTAGCATTGAGACAATTCCTATGAAAACGTAAGCTGTTTTTCCCCTCATACTTTTGCTGTCGACTTTACTGCTAAAACGATATCCCTTTCCTGTTTTGTACATAAAACTTTCTGCTTAATGGTGCTGGTTTAAGCTCTAAGCCTGGGAATGCTTCTCAGATGAAGGGCGCTGCTTGTGTTGGTGTGTTATCTTTGAAGCTCCCTTGTTTAACATGAAGGGCTGTTAAAACAGAGACCTTAAGAGCACACTTCAAAACTATTGCTGTACATTTTACAAGATATGTTTGCAGTTTATACCGTTTCATACTCTATCTTCCGTGTAAATTTTTCAAGAATGCTTTAAAATGAAGCTTGTCCATAGTCACATGCCATTTCTCTCATGTCACATCATGTTTCGTTTACATTTTTGTCTATGTAATGTTTTATTTCGGTATGGAAATTGGTACTAATGGTTATTATAATGAACATTTAGAATGTATCCAAAATCCTGTAATGGCAAGGTAATCAGAACCATACACCCTGCGTGTTACGCTAAACGGCATGCATTGGGTGGAACGATTGAGGTGATAATTAGGTATCAGAGGACTGATGCATGCGCAGTTTGAAGTTGCCCTTTGCACAAATGATCACCTGGGAGTCTGATATTTCCTTTTTCTTTTTGTCATTGTTAAAATAGTGCTTGCATGCTGACTAACTCAATAGCAGTAATGCAGAATTTGTGTTTTGCACTCTTGCATGATATTTGAATTTATATTAACATTGCATACATTAGATTTCGCAGAATTTATTGACTGGCAGAATTCACGTTTTTTTTTGCATGTATTCAAATTTTTGTCTTCTCGCATGACTCTTGAAATTCTCACTGCACTGCTATGGCTGAGAATGGTCTTTCTCTCCAACTCATCACTAATGATGTGTTTCAACAGCAAAGCATGTAACAGAGGTCAGGATGGTGTGCTAGAATGACACAGAGCTTGGATACATCCAAACACTATCATTCAGAAATTTGGGGTTGATGAGATTTTTGAAAAAAGCGAGCAATTATTTGATTAAAAAGTATAGCAAAAACAATATTGTTACAATGTAAAATAGATTTGTTTTAAAACGTTTTAAATGTAATTTATTCCTGTGATGGCAAAGCTGAATTTTCAGCATCATTACTCCAGTCTTCAGTGTCACATGATCCTTCAGAAATCATTCTAATATGTTGATTTCCTGCTCAAGAAACATTTTTTATTATAATCAATGTTGAAAGTAGTTGTGCTGATTAATAGTTTTATGGAAGCTCAGATACATTATTTTTCAAGATCCTTTAATGCACAGAGAGTTCAAAAGAACATGTATTTGAAATAGATTTATTTACTATTATTTAAAAAAACAATGAATTAAAAAAAATCTTACCCCTAACTTTTGAATGGTAGTTTATGTATTAGATGTCACAAGTTTAGACTGATTAGGTCTTAGCACTTATGCTAAGACACGATAAAGCGATGATAAGGTTTTTTCACACATTTTCAAGAATGGAATTGCTTGATTTCAGATTGGTTCTTTTTTTAACCTAGTACTATCACGGATACATGTGATTTCTGTCAGGTGATAGGACATTTTTATGTGAGGCATTTCAAATAAAAATTACTTACAGCACCTTTATTAGTAGTAGTGCTATATGTGTCATTTTAAAAGCCCCGTCCTGATCTTCTATTGATGGGTTAAAGATGGATGGAGAGCTAATGGGGGGCATCTCAGTGGTGTGTGTGGATTTTAAATACTCTCCAGGCCTGACAGTTTTTCCCTTTGTGCCTCAAGCATCCCTACCTATGACACTATGACTCGATTCCCACGGGCCTCTGCGCCCCCCCGCCATGCCGACTGGTGACTCTGAGGAGGACGGTCTGTTTTGTAACTACAGAAAGGTACTCAGAGCTGCAGATGAGAGCAAATGGACTTGATCTTTCTCTCTATAACAAGCATTCCTCCTGTCCAAATTAATTACATAGCTATTTTAGTATGCATTTGTTTGATTGCCTCCTAACATTTTCACTCCTGTATCCTCTATTGACATGCACTTTAAAATATTTCTGTTTTGTTTTGTTTTTTTCTGTCATTACACCAACAGCATGTTTAGTTTTTGCATCCCATCTTCAGAAGCATTCCACCAGGATAACTGCTGACAGCTCTGCAAAGCTTTGTGTGAATTGTGTTTTTTAGGGTCCATCACTAACCACTCGCTCGTATCATTGTGATCCACCCATGTTTGACTTCAAACATTCCTGACAGCTCTGCAAACAGATAGATGCCAGCGCTCACTGTGTTTTATTTCTTTCCCTTGGTCTAAAATCTCATCTCCCCTCTCATGTCTCATGTGCACCAGTTCATTCGTATCAGTCTTTGCCATTTATTATTCATTTTGAAACTGCGCAGCGGGTGTAATTCTGCGATATTTGTTTATTTTCTCATACAGTGATATTGGAAACTGGAATTAAACCTTTGTGGAATGTAAGTTGTTTAAATTGACCTTGTTTTACATTAAACCAGTGCTTCTCAACCTTTTTGACCCCAAGGCCCCCCACTGTCTGCAACAATATTCAAAAGCCTCATGATTTTACCAAGTTGTTTGTGATTTTGTTTTGTTTTTTTCGATATCTTATATCTAGCTGCAGAAAAAAAAGCTGTTGTTGAGGGGGTGAATTAAAACAACCCATATCTTGATTTTTAGTTGTTTTAACTTATTTGAATGCTTGTTTTGTCTTATTTTAAGTAGTGGGTCCCCTTCCCCTGGTTGAGAACCACTGCACAAAACAGAATGAAAAGTTCATAAAAACTAACAAAAATATTGTATGCATTGTACAAGACTAATGTTTTCTTCTCACTATGTATTTTTTCTTTACCACAGACTCTGTGAACAGCAGGCTCAGCTCTTAAGAAAAAGGAAACTCACATACTTGACGCTGGGACCTGTTGTCCACGTTCCCATCACATCAGTGAAGATTGTTGTTTTGACTAATTTGCACCCTTATGATTATAGTACTGTCTTATGAACTGTCCCCTCAACAAGCTATTCTCTGATGTCACATCCTGCCATAGTCAGGGAGGCTTCACAGTATAAGGCTGTTTTAACTACTACATGTGTCTTTGTTTACAGTCATTGAGAAATCACGTGTGACGGGCATAACAATGGTTCGACTGCTGCATTGCTTTTTATAGTGCTTTTTAACATTGTGGAGAATACAACATGTTGTCAAGTCGAGTCCACTGAGAGGCCGAATGGGTTTTTACTGAAACGGAGCAAGCCAGCCACCAATGAGCCACAAATATTACACATAAACATGGATGTGTAGGTGTTCGAAAACATGCTAAGTGCTAACTAGTGCTAATTCGGTACAGATAGATGTTGTCAAGCCATTTCAAGGGTGAATGCATTGTTGCCTTTTCAGATTTTTAGCTCGTGGTACATGTTAGCCACAAGTCGCAAGAGCAGGTCTTTGATTGGTTTTACCTATTTATTGAAGGTGAGATCACTAAACCACATTTGATACTGAAATGTGGTTAGCAGTTTATGCTCACTTTTGTACTGAGAATTTAAAGGGTTAGTTCACCCAAAAATGAAAATTAGCCCATAAATTACTCACCCTCAAGTCATCCTAGGTGCATATGACTTTCTTCTTTCAGATGAATCTAGTCGGAGTTATATTAAAAATGGTCTTTGATCTTTCAAGCTGTTTAATGCCACTCAGCAGGTGTTGCATGCATCAATCCAAAAGAACTTAAATAAAAAGTACCCATCCCAAAAAAAAAAAAAGTGTCTCACACGGCTCCAGGGGGTGAACAAAGGCCTCCTGTAGCGAATCAATGCGTTTTTGTAAGAAAAATATCCATATTCAAAACGTAATAATCACTTTAATGTAGTTTGCGCCAACAGTCCTACACGGAAGCAGCTCCGAGCGGATGACGTATGAGGTCAGAGCTGCGCATGCGCCGGTGAGTCTCATGAAAATCAATGTTTGTTAACAGGAGCAAAAGAAGCAAAGTTTCCTTACTTTAGCAAAGGAAAACCTTGGCTTATATCGAAATCCTCTCAACATTCTTCTTTACAAATCCTCGTTTTGTACTTCTAATAAGTGACCGTTGTTTTGTTTTGATCTCTCCGCTGTTTCCACGTGCGTCACTTCTAAGCGGCGCATGCGCAGCGCTGACCTCATACGTCATCAGCCCGGAGCTGCTTCCGTGTACAACAGTGAGCGCAAGCTACATTAAAGTGATTATTACGTTTTGAATATGGATATTTTTCTTACAAAAACGCATTGATTCACTACAGGAGGCCTTTGTTCACCCCCTGGAGCCGTGTGAGACACTTTTTTTATGGATGGGCGCTTTTTATTTAACTTCTTTTGGACTGATGCATGCAACACCCGCTGAGTGGCATTAAACAGCTTGAAAGATCAATTACCATTTTTTATATAACTCCGACTGGATTCCTCTGAAAGAAGAAAGTCATATACACCTAGGATGACTTGAGGGCGAGTAATTTATGGGCTAATTTTCATTTTTGGGTGAACTAACCCTTTAAGATATGATGCATTTGGATTTACTAACACCCCTAAAAGATCTTGCTAGCTTTATGTACTTTAGTTTTTCTGAATATATCAGTTATTAATGATATTTCGGTTCCTAATTTTGACAACTTGTACTAACAACAATTGCTCTCCAACACATTGTTGGATTACTGTAAACTACTGATTATTACTGTGTGACACCAAATCTTGTTTCATTGTAGGTCTCAGGTTTTAGGGCTTTTTGTTTACTTGATATAACAATATTTGAGGACATTTGTCAATATGTGAACTTCATGTCAACTTTAAAGTGAGTGAATGTACCTCAGAGAGACATTTGCTTGTACGAGAGCAAGAGAAGACCACAGAGCCCATTTACGACGACTTTTACGGAGCCTATTTAACGCTGTCATAGTCATTGACAATTACGCCACCAAATATTTCAGCCGTTAAATGTTAGAGACATTATGTCAGGTGCTACATATTTTTGCTCAGATCCTTCACTCATTGTGTATATGACAGTGTTATCAGGGCCTCAGGTAAAATGTTGTACTTGATTTATATCCAGAAAGGTCCCTTCACCTCACAGTCTCATTGTTTTGCCATACCACACATAGCATGCGCATACTTGGTGTTCAAGCTTACTCGAAGATGTTTAGTTGTGGTGGGCCTGGTTGTCAGTGCCGTTGGTTTTCAAGTCCATGTGGTTAAGCTGGCTAAAACTGTAAAATATTACGAATAAAACTTCAGATGGAAAAACATTCTGGTGTTGTAAATTCCCAATTCAACCACTGTACATAGCATTCAAACTGAGTTCACAAAAAAAAAATCAGTTTTAAAAAATAAAAACAAGGAAATACTTCTGTTTGTATACAGAGTATAGCTTACAAAACCTACAATGTCATGGAAACACAAAACCAGTGTTGGAAACTTTTAGACTTACTTTCTTTTATAAAGGGACAATATTTGCCCACAGGAATTAGTTTTCATAGACACTTTTACTATTAAGAGGGCATATATACACACACATATATAGATATAGATATATATGAGCCCAATTTTGACAATTAATTGAAATGTGTGTTTATAACCAATACTAGATAGGCCTAGAATAGAATTAACTACATCCAATGTTAAATAACAAATGGGAAATTTCATTTGAACATTTAAAATATCTAGGGCATTTTTGTCACTTTTGTTGTCATTTTGTATACAGAGCTCTACACTGGTTTCTACCCCATACCCAAAATAAAAATAAATGTATAATGATTTTGCTCCATCAAAGTAGGTTTGTTTTAATATAAAGGCATGTTCACACCAAGAATAATAACTGATTCTTTAAAACAGGATGGATTCTGATTCATTGTTTTCATCATTCATCAAGTGTGAAAGTAATTCCAGTGATATCATTCCTCTGTGCCTTTATTATTAAAATTGTGGTGGGGACTCTGCTATTCTTTTACATTTTAAAACTATCTTATATAAAACTATATCTTTTTATATAGTTATTGGCCTTCGTGTGAATGAGCCTTAACCCTTGTCATCTGTTTCTGTCAGTTTTCTCCAGAAAAGTCTCCATGAGTTAGACAGGCAAAGAAAGTCTGGGACTTGTGGAAGCCAGTAAAACGCTGCAAAGGAAGCCAAAAATAAGAGCTGTAATTGGCCTCTAACACAGTCACAGACCCTTTGATTCTAGTTGAGCTGACTTGTTCTGGATGTTTACATTTTAATTCCTGCATCAGTTACAAGGACCCCCTACTTCCAGATACGATTGATTGCTTGAAAAATACAGATGTGATTAGGTCAAAGTGTCTGTCGTAATTCAGAAGTTCAGACACACTTTTTCACTAATGGCCTCTAACTCCATTCCTCATTTCTTTAAGTGAACATGTTTATATAATTATCCAATCGTGTGCCTGACATGTTCCAAATCAGAGTATGATCCTTCATGTAGAACTGTCAAAATCATTTAAAATCAAGTACTGTATGTTTAGTATGAAATGCCTGTACATTTCTGCCTAAGAGTAAAAAAATTAAAAACATAATTGCATTGTCACCTTGTGACTTCATACCTCTTATTGTAAACTTTAACTCAAAATTACCTTTTGTATTTTTTATTATAGAAATGTTTTTAATAGTTTAGTGAGAGAAATAAAACATTTTATAACATTTGAACCAACATGACTGCTGTGAACCAACATGTTACATCAGGTTGGCATACAGTTTTTAAAAGAACCTTTTTTTTCTACACGTGAAGGACATTTTTAAAAATCTAAAGAAACTTTTTCCACTATAAAAACCTTTTTGCGATGGAAAGGTTCCAGGGATGTTAAAGGTTCTTCGTGGAACCATCAATGCCAGTAAAGAACCTTTATTTTTAAGATTGTACGATCACACAAGGAAGTCCACTAAACTGGTTCTTTTTTAAGTACTCGCATAACCCAAGATTAAAATTTCTTGATGGTAGGCATGGACAGATTGTTTCCCAACATCATAAACACAAAGCATGACTGGAAAACTAATATAGCTGCGGTGTACTGTGAATTACACAAAAAATGCTGAAAAAGTTCCAGAATTGGGGTTGTAAAGGAGCGCTCTCTGTTCCACTTACTGTGTCTGAGCATTTTCTCAATTGGTTACATATGTGTCCCTGCTTCTTATTGACAGTCCCCAGATGGCCAAGCAAACAATACATTCCCCAGGCGGGAAGCCAGCTTGTGGAGCAACTTTTTTAAACCTCAAAATACCCTTTTTGTGACCAAAGCCTTTAAATACTGGAGTCAGAAGTCCCTCCGCCAGTGTCAGCGCCTCACAACATGTGGACAATCACAAGCACACTCCTGCTTACATGCTGCCTCCGGGCAGCTCTCGTTCAGAGCCAGGATCACGACGACATCAAGCCAGGATACAAGAGGAACGTTTGGGAAGACGAGATCGAGTTTCTTACCAAAGGCACCAGAGATGAATGCAGCTTGAGTGTGACAGGACAAGGCGATCTCACTAAGCTCCGCATTACTTGCCTGGGCCTGGAGCGCTCTTACTGGTGCGAGTACCAGGGCAAGCCTCAGGTCTGCCGCTCTTACAACAACAACCCACTGCATTATTTCAGGCAGATCATGTGGGACCTCCGCAAGCTGCCGAATGCTTGCCAGGGCCAGCGCGTCCTCAAGCCTCTCATGTGCAGGAGAGCTTCGGACGAGGCCCAGATGGTCTTCACAAGCGCATCCTCTTCAGACACCAAGCCAATGGACAGGCCCTACAGACCAGCCCCTGACAGACCCATGCAGATGAGACCACAACAGAGACGACGAGAGCAGAGACCAAAGCCTACGAGACCACAAATATTAAGAGCCCAATCAGCCAGAACTGCTCAGGACAAGCCGAATCAACCCAAAGCTGTCAAATCCACCAAACAGAAAAAAATTACTACACCCAAACCAACGATGCCACGACCAACTACTCCGGTACCCACGAGTGAGGCCAAGAAACTTGCCCAGGACTACTGCTGGCGCTCTTTTCAGGGTGTCTGTTCCTTCGTCATTGGGTGGTTCAGAAACTAAGAAAAGGGTAGGATTTTTTTAAATTACCAAATCATATCCACCTTATTTTTTAACGTAAGAGCAGTTGGTACATTTGTTAACTGAATGTGCAAGTCTGTTATGCTGCTTGATATTGCAGACTGGTATTTTTCATATTATTTTAGTTCATTATCATAATCATAAATATTCACTGGTTTGTATCGCAAATATTTTACTGCACTTTGTTATTCTTCTAGTTTACCTATAGTGGCTAATGAATCAGAAGTCTGGCAAATTCAAAGAAAATAGCATAATTTTCCTCCTTGCAATATAATGTTGAAAATCTGAAGATATAAGTTGTTGCAAATCTGAAACCTGTGTGTCCTCTCTTTATATTACTGTAGTCACTCACATTTCCGCAGACAACAAAACCCATTTAAGATAACTCCAAATGTCTTAACAGCATGAAGGTTTTGGACTGACGGGGAGAAATTAAGGTGTTTGTTAAGACTGACAGGACTTTGGGAACACTATTAATATATCCTTATGTATGACAAATGTTACAGACTCCAATGTACATGTTATCAGGATAGACAAGATTATCAATGAATTTAGATAATTCCACATAATGCTGGCATGTTTTCATCTCCAAATGTAAACTATATGATGAGGAACTTCATCTTATCATGTGTACTGAATGCTATATGTGTATTAATCTTGCTATGTTATATATTTATGAGTGCTGACCAATTGGGTCAGCATTTCTGAAAGCTGTGGAGCCACAGGTCACTTCAGACTAATATATCAATGTGAAAATGTATAATGCACATGAAAATGTATTTGTGTCTACTAGCCTACATTTTATAGTTGAGTAGGTAATACTCAAATTTATAAAGAGTTTTTTTTGCTTTTTTTGTGTGGGGATGATTTACATGAGTGTGACAGCAGAGGGCACTATTGTGTACTGTTCTAGAATGTATAAGATTTAGGCTATTAACATACAATTTTATCAAGTGAGAGTGAATAAAAATACATATAGGCCAATAGTTTCTGTTAGAAGATGCTGTGTGTGCTGGCAATTGCAAATAGCAGTGTTTGATTCATTAAAGGGGTCATATGATGCTATGATGATAACGCCGCCCAAATGTTCACGCAAAGAAAGAAGGTGTAACTTTTATTCTCGCTGTAGTATTGTTGTTGCCTCCGCCATGACGTGAAGACGCTGTGTGCTTCGTTGTGAAAGCGAAACTACTTTATTTGGTCTTCCAAAAGAGGACAATATCTGCTTCGTCATGCCTGGAGCTGATCCGTCCTGATCGCTGAGGAAATACATCAACTTCGCGCTGTGGATCGCCGGATCGGCTTTCACCGTGGACGAAGCGGAGTCCAGCCCGGGGTCGTCACATGTGGTTGCCACAAGCCCACCGGCCGCTCCTTCGTAAGTCATTTTAATCCATAATTATGTCCCCACTGGATGTAAGGAATGCCTTGTTTATAATGGGTTTTCATGTTTTTGAATCATAGCTCCGGCCTGACAGGGCATCATCACAGTATGGTAGGGGCATAACATTTCCTTCACACGCTTGAGGTATTCGGCCAATCATAACGCACTGGATAGCTGGCCAATCACAGCACACCTCGCTTTTCAGACCGATGAGCTTTGTAAAAATCGACGCGTTTCAGAAAGGCGGGGCATAGAGGAGAAACAATAATGTACAGTATGTGGAAAATAATGTGTATTTTGAACCTTAAACCGCATAAACACATTTCATTACACCAAATACACAAAATAATGTTCTTATTAGCAACATCATATGACCCCTTTAATCGTTCTTTTGAGTCGGATCTTTTCGATCAGTTGAATCGATTACATTAATTCATCGATCTGAACAATTCTTTGACGAATGGGTCCAAGCTGTTTTCGAGTCAACAACTCAAGATTTGAACCAAGAACCGTACTTTCGAGCATGTCCGATTCTTGAGCCGAGAACACGGTGGGCTGATAGTCAGGGGCGCTGCTATGGTTTCTGGGCCCCCTGAACCGCATATAGGCCGCTGTGTTCAGGGGGGAGGGGGAAATCGCTTTCGGGCCACCTCTCCCTCGCCGGGCCCTAGATTGTCCTAACCTTTAAATGGTCGCAAATACGAGTTGTCGACTTGGAAGTTACATGAACCATTCAAATTGTTTATGACTGAGAACTTTGTATTGTATTGTATAATTTTGATACCCGAATAACCGAGTATGATGACAATCCAGATAGCTTAGTAGGCTAATCGCCTCGAGCTCGGCATGCCCACGGCGCCTGCGGCTCAGACTTTGCATCGGCATGTATGACCCGAAGCTCGCTCTTGCACATGTATTGTACTACGGGCCGATTCTTGTTCAGCGTAACTCACCCGGATCTGGTTGTAGAGTCTGGGCCACTGCCAGCAATGACTCGGCTTTGTTCAGTCATAGATGGCTAAATAACATTTCGCCATTGCTGAGAAGAGGACCGTTTCATTAGTGCATGGTATTCATTTTCATTTTTAAATACTGCATTATTAGCTGTTGTAGGCTGTTCAGACGTGTATATTTTGGTCATTGTTGCATTATTGTACGTCTTTACTGTAAAGACTTTACATCGAGAAAGTAGCATTTACCCAACGTCCATCGTCGTACCCCATATCCTTTTCTTTCCGAGTCCGACTGTTCGAAAGAACCGATTCGCGGAAATGAATCTTTGGTCAGGACTTCACATGTATTGTAAAGTTATTTACAGTCCTCAAGTTGTAACAGTTTGGTAGAACATTCACATGTAAGTTACTATTTGTACTATGCTGATAAGTTGATCTATAAATAAACCTAGACATGCCATCAAGTCAAAGCTTTGCCATATAATATCCTAGAACTAGACGCGTTCAAGAATGTGCAGTCTGAGGGAGGTGCGTGCGCGAGATGCTCTATAAATGGCACACACGAACTTCAGGTGCAAAACCAAAGATTTCACAGCTCTCGTGTTATACCAAAAGAGTTCCATTTATTTTCAACAAAACCATTTGTGACTACAAATGTCACGTCAAGTTGTTCCTGTAGTTGTTTGAAAATATTTCCGATGAGGATATGAAACGCGTGACAGACATTGCTCTTGTTCTGATCTTCGCCTGTATCGTGCAGCAGTTCGTACAGGTGAACAGCCTGAGAGATAGAGGGAGGAGAGCGCAGGCAGATAGGAAGGGGAAAAGAAGAGGTCAACGGAATGAAAGTGATCTGAGAGGGAGATTCTCACTGAAGGACGGAGCGCGGTGCTCGTGGCGCGCAGCGCGCGGGGGTGATGCGTTTGTATTGGGAGTCACGTGCAAAAACGGGCCAAAGACTTTCGGCTGCGAATATGTAGCGAAGCCCACAGCATGTGAACAGTACGCATCTAATACCAAAGCCTACTGGAAACAGATCACCCGTTCGCTGAAAAAGCAGAGGAGATTGTGTCGCGACTCTGCGGCGATGGTCAAAGCCGGTATGTGCAGGAGCGCGCACTTCAGACTGAAGGACACGCGTCCCTCCTCCAGAGTCCCGTTACCGCCAACCGCGGGGAATAATCACTGTCCTGACCGGATCGAGAGGCTGAAAGTGGCCGAAGAATACTGCAGCAGAGCCTGGTCTTCACTGTGTGCATTCTTCTTCTTGATGCTTGAGAATGATGAATGCTCATGATTGACTTTGAAAAACTTTTTTTCAAGGCAAATTTTATATTCCATTAATTTCTGAATGAAATTAACTTCTTGCACTCTTTTTTTTTTTTTTCCTATTTTGTGATTCATTATTAGCACTTTAAATTAACTTTAATTCCATTACATAAATATGGCTATAATCACAAAAAAAAAAAAAACATTAATCCAAATCTAATGTATTTACCGTGTATTTACATTTTGGTTTGAATGAAGAAAAAAAATCAGTGGTTCTTCTGAAACTATCCACACAAGAATAGGCTATAAAACCTGAAATCACCTATGGGGAGGAGCCAATGGGCTCCACAAAAAAAATGTCTTAAGATACATAGGCCTACTAAAAATAATGTCTTGAACAAAAATGTGTAAACATCTGTGTGAAATATTAAAATTAAATAAAGTCCCCACCGTGACAAAAAAAACCCTGTGTTGGCATGTTTGGTGTCTAGAGACTTAAAGTTGATGTGTAATAGAGGAAGAATTTATCATATGAAAATGGTTATTGGTGTTTGTAATCTTACTGAGTGATCTCTTGAATAAAATGCCTTCATTATTTTTCTTTTATTTTCTCAATTAGCTCTTATCCTCACCTGAATAGGAATGTTCATGACCGTTTGGAAAGGTTGTTCCAAGCATGGAAACTGGCAATTGTAGAACTTAATACTTTGCTCTTATTACTTTGACCCAGATAGATATCAAACCTAATCCTATTGATGGAGGTATTTAAATATGTGTGCGTGTGTGTGTGTGTGTGTGAGAGAGAGAGAGAGAGAGAGAGAAATTGTATGTGCAAAGTATAACTTTTTTTTTTTTAATGAAATAAGCTAAAACTAATAAATGAACATTTAATAAATATATATACAATTTTAAAATATATCTAAAAATAAAATCTAATTCAACTGCATCTCAACATGATAGCTTTATCTCAGGTGAAGAGTGGCTGTTTGGTCTTGCATGTACTGTCAAGTAGAAACACTGAATGACTTTAGTGGTTTAACAGATTAATCACTCCAACAGTGATCCTTGCATTCCATCTGAGGTCATGTGCTTCTTTCCTACTGGTCATTAGAAGAATTCTTGGAAACCGTTATTCTGCAAGTTCTGATGGGTGATCAAATGCTGAGGCCACAATACACCACAACTCTTAAGCCAATGAGCCTATGTTAACTTAATGTTTAGAGCTGGAGAGCTGTCAAGATAACATGATAATTAAAAGCCTAAATTAGGCTTCATTTTATATCATTAGCTATTTTTTATGATTATTTGTCATAATTACTGGTATTGCAATTGGAAATGTTTCATTTTGTTGTTGTATTACAGTTTGCTTTTACAGTTTCTTACGAACAAACCCTCTGAATCACAGAGGTTTGAATATGTTGTATGAAAGCAATAAGTTACTGTTTTGAAGCTTCACATATAAACATATTTCAGGATGCAGCTCTTTCTACATTACAAGCGGTTAGTCATAAACCAAAACATTCAAGCACACAAAACCGATTTTAGCATCTTGTGGGTTTTTGGTAGCCATACCAGCCTGTGATTATGAAATTAAACACACTCACACATGTTGTGGCCTCTCCTTTCCAAAAACAAAATTTCCACCAAAATTCTGAACACGTTCAGAATCCATTATTGCAGTTTGCTTATGTTTTTTTATTCAATCATTTAAAGAAAACATCAATAGAAACATTTCTGGACTTCTAACATGAAAGGTAACTCAAGGAATAAAACTGTTAGTTACAGATGGTGGAAATTGTAAAATCTGTTTTATGAGCAAAGATTTGCGCATGCACACCTTTGGACATTGAGTGAAATGTGATTACTAAACAGAACAGCAGCAGGAAAGCTAGTGGAGTATGAATGAGCCCAAAACCGCATAAATTTGCCTGGGGATAAGCTTGCAACAGCTATTCACACGAGAAATTAATTTGCTTGTATGATTCCCAGATAAATACTTGTTGCGTGACATTTAAGAATGAAAGAATAACAATTGCTTAGATTTCAGTTCTTTGCTCTTTTCGTCTATTAATGAAAGTATGGTGCTTGCTTTAGTGTATCATGCCAAATTGTGACTTAATATTCTGAAACCTCACACACACACGCTTTTATCTCCCACTGAGATTAATTCAAGCACTGCTCTCATGTAACCTCTCAAGGGGATCCTTTACTTCCTGGTGGGTCCTCTAGGGTGGGGTTTCATGAAGGGTTTCCATGTGGACAGAGGTGGCCTGATCTCACACCCTGACATTCTGAACACTGATTGGCTAAAATAATGACCTTAATAAATTCCATCCTGGAAATAGTGGAGACCTCGGTAGAAATTAAGGGCTTTGTGCTGAGAGTGCCAGTGTTGGGATTTAGTAAAGCGATTTAGAGCTTGTATCCACACACAGAATCCACACATAATAAAAGAATGTGATCTTATAAGAGTCTCAACATCTTTGTAGCTCAACAGTCACCTTAACTAATATAAATCCACCTTCTGTTGAATGCATTTATCAGGCTGTGTATGAAAGTTTTCAGTCTTGCTGAAGTAAAATATCTGAGGCAAACCCTTTGACCCCCACATAATATTTAACAGTAGCATCCAGTGTCCGTGATAATGTATGAAGTAAAATATTAGTTTTATTTAAGGTGAAAATTACTTATTCAATTTCCCAAACACTTTCTACAAATTAAGTATTGTGGAAAATTTTAGTTAAATAAAAAAATGTGGATGTCTTGATTTGAAACCGCAGTGACAAATCTGTCATATTGTGTTGAGATTATGAAATGAAATCAAATAAAAGTTACCTGTTTTTTGTTTTCTCATGGAAGGACCATTAATCTTGTTAACTCCCTTGCCTATCTCTTCTGCAGTTTTTAATTTGTGTGAATGAGGCTGTTGTACGTTTGTTTAACTTAAGAATAAAATATTTTAGAATGTTAATATTTATGTGGGAGGAAATAGTCTCAAGAAAAATTGCTCATGATGGGTCAAAATAGGCTGAGGGAGAATATGGAAGATTTGTTAGAGCAATACTGCCATCTAGTGGAAAATGTATTATTTTGAGCGACAGAAACAAAACAAGGAACTGCATAAAGACTTTACGAAACATTAATATGGTCCGCGTGCACAGACCTCCGGAGGGGCATGCGAGTAGTGGTGTTATGAGGGCAAACTCGCTGGGACCCCTCGGTATAAATCGCAGTCCAGGGGCACATAGATCGGACCAAAGGGCACTGGCTCGAGCATCCCCCCCCCCCCCTGTAAACATCTGTGTGAAATATTAAAATTCAATAAAGTCCCCACCGTGACAAAAAAAACCCTGTGTTGGCATGTTTGGTGTCTAGAGACTTAAAGTTGATGTGTAATAGAGGAAGAATTTATCATATGAAAATGGTTATTGGTGTTTGTAATCTTACTGAGTGATCTCTTGAATAAAATGCCTTCATTATTTTTCTTTTATTTTCTCAATTAGCTCTTATCCTCACCTGAATAGGAATGTTCATGACCGTTTGGAAAGGTTGTTCCAAGCATGGAAACTGGCAATTGTAGAACTTAATACTTTGCTCTTATTACTTTGACCCAGATAGATATCAAACCTAATCCTATTGATGGAGGTATTTAAATATGTGTGCGTGTGTGTGTGTGTGTGTGAGAGAGAGAGAGAGAGAGAGAGAAATTGTATGTGCAAAGTATAACTTTTTTTTTTTTAATGAAATAAGCTAAAACTAATAAATGAACATTTAATAAATATATATACAATTTTAAAATATATCTAAAAATAAAATCTAATTCAACTGCATCTCAACATGATAGCTTTATCTCAGGTGAAGAGTGGCTGTTTGGTCTTGCATGTACTGTCAAGTAGAAACACTGAATGACTTTAGTGGTTTAACAGATTAATCACTCCAACAGTGATCCTTGCATTCCATCTGAGGTCATGTGCTTCTTTCCTACTGGTCATTAGAAGAATTCTTGGAAACCGTTATTCTGCAAGTTCTGATGGGTGATCAAATGCTGAGGCCACAATACACCACAACTCTTAAGCCAATGAGCCTATGTTAACTTAATGTTTAGAGCTGGAGAGCTGTCAAGATAACATGATAATTAAAAGCCTAAATTAGGCTTCATTTTATATCATTAGCTATTTTTTATGATTATTTGTCATAATTACTGGTATTGCAATTGGAAATGTTTCATTTTGTTGTTGTATTACAGTTTGCTTTTACAGTTTCTTACGAACAAACCCTCTGAATCACAGAGGTTTGAATATGTTCTATGAAAGCAATAAGTTACTGTTTTGAAGCTTCACATATAAACATATTTCAGGATGCAGCTCTTTCTACATTACAAGCGGTTAGTCATAAACCAAAACATTCAAGCACACAAAACCGATTTTAGCATCTTGTGGGTTTTTGGTAGCCATACCAGCCTGTGATTATGAAATTAAACACACTCACACATGTTGTGGCCTCTCCTTCCCAAAAACAAAATTTCCACCAAAATTCTGAACACGTTCAGAATCCATTATTGCAGTTTGCTTATGTTTTTTTATTCAATCATTTAAAGAAAACATCAATAGAAACATTTCTGGACTTCTAACATGAAAGGTAACTCAAGGAATAAAACTGTTAGTTACAGATGGTGGAAATTGTAAAATCTGTTTTATGAGCAAAGATTTGCGCATGCACACCTTTGGACATTGAGTGAAATGTGATTACTAAACAGAACAGCAGCAGGAAAGCTAGTGGAGTATGAATGAGCCCAAAACCGCATAAATTTGCCTGGGGATAAGCTTGCAACAGCTATTCACACGAGAAATTAATTTGCTCGTATGATTCCCAGATAAATACTTGTTGCGTGACATTTAAGAATGAAAGAATAACAATTGCTTAGATTTCAGTTCTTTGCTCTTTTCGTCTATTAATGAAAGTATGGTGCTTGCTTTAGTGTATCATGCCAAATTGTGACTTAATATTCTGAAACCTCACACACACACGCTTTTATCTCCCACTGAGATTAATTCAAGCACTGCTCTCATGTAACCTCTCAAGGGGATCCTTTACTTCC